TTTTTGATTTTTCTAGTTAACTTTAATGGGAAATGTGAGAGGGTCATAACCATACGGTTTCACAAAAGCAGCAAGGCTGCTGCCTGCCAGGGCCTGAAATTCGTACATGACAGTACACTCCTACTATCTATTAAAGACAGGTCAGCTCTTACTGAATCTAGGGTCCATCACCATCCTGACCTGTACCAAGTATTACAAACAAGGTAGCCATAAGCAGTTTTGCAGGTTTTAAAAGGCTGTTTGCTATTAATCACGCTGAAAGGCAAGTTAAATTAAGATCAGATTGTCCCACTCTGTATCTCTGCCCCTCCTCCTTCCCCTTCCTAGCTCCAATCATGTCCTCAGGTTGTGATCTGAGGTACTGGAAAAAGTTCCTCTGGTTTGGGGGCAGTTTAGGTATTTGCACCATTACCCYCACTCTTTGCATCTTGAAGTTTTGGTCCCGTGTCTTTGCATCTTCTCTTGCATATGTTCTTCAGACATGTCTGTGCAAACATGTCTGTGGGTATTTCGTTTCTGTCTTCCAATTCACTCACTTTTTCTTTTCCTTGACATGACCAGTAATTGAAAAAGGATGAATTTCTCTTTCCTGAAGTCTTCACTTTCAGAAATGAAACCAAGTACTATAGCTTGGCAGAAGTGGACTTTTCTCACTGTTTCCAGTTCACTCTAGAATTGCCAGAAGGAGAAATCTACATATGCTCTGGAGCACAGAAACACAGTTGGAATCAATACATTTGTGATTAGAAGGTTGTTTTTTATGAATGTATGAAAGGTACTAGAAAGCACTTCTTATTCTGTCAGTTTACATAGTTGCAATCATATTTTTTAAAATTTCTTTTTCATGCTTGAAGCATAGTACTGTGTTTACAGTGAGAAAAGGAATCTTTAGAGCAGCTGGACAAACCGCATGTCCTTTCATTTGAACTTGCTACATATTATCCAGCTGCCATGCTGGATACATGCACTGGACAGAGGCTTGTCAGTCTGACGCTGTACAAATGTGACAAGAAAATCCAGGAGCACAAACAGAGAGAAAATGTTGTCTGTGACATTGGAAAGCGCTCTGTTCTCTAAGCTGTCAGTGCGTAACCCTTAATGATTACGTAGGACAACAACAATGTCTTCTGTAAATCAACAGTTACTATAAAAGTCTTCTCTGGGGTAAAGGATGGTAAGAAAGAAGTCAGCATTTTGACTTAASCATCTTTGCTATGATAAGCACTCAAAAACCTCATGTCTTGGGAGGAAATTCCTGCTTCCTGTAACTCAGTCAGAAGAGAAAATACAAGAAAGAGAAGCTGCATTAACTTCGTCAGAATGTAGTGTGTCAGCCACTTCAAGAAGTATTAGCAGGTTTCACTCCCTTAGCCAACATGCCACTTCTTCTCTGCCTTGGTGAAGGACCTCATTTGCTTTCCATATGATCAATATCCTTTACTCAAGATTCTGAAGCCCAGGTGCTCAAGTTAAGTCTGCTCCTTCATCTAACTAAAATCACCATTTAACTTCAGGTATGAGAGATAAAATTGTCTATTGAGATTTCCAGTGACAGAAAATGAACTTCACTTGTTTCTTTCCATCTCCAACATACTTTAAAGGCAGGAAATATTTCTGCAGCAGAAGACTCCAGTCAGTTGGGAATTAAGACAGCTATGAAACTGCGATATCCTTTTCAATACTAGCGCCTCCTTTCGGAGGCTTCTGTTTCAGTCCTCAAATTTACCTGGGAGGAGCTCAGTTCTTCAGGAATGCTCACGGTAAGAACTGTGGGAAATCCAGYTCTTTGAAGATGTTTGGTAGCCCAGCCATCTGATTACGAACTGGAGGAGAGACAGGTCTTTCTGCCAGTCATCTCCTAGCTTTTCATCACCAAAATTTGTGATGTGGAAATGTCAGCGTGCTTCCTAAGAAGCACATCAAGTCATGTTGAAGCAAGATCCTAAGTCCCCTCCCCAGAAAGCTCTGGATGACAAAGGAAGACTGTGTATTTAACAAACACCCTAAATACTTGAAAAGTAACCACTGCTTTCCCTGCAACTGRCACCTAAGGAGAGGCAGCTGTGCCTTTTGCAGGCCAGATCTGGAGAGCTGGTCCTGGCAGGGTGCCAGCCTTCGGGAGATCTCCTCCGGTGCATCCCGGAGCTGGCTCTTGCATGGAGGCGAAGCAAGCGGGGCAAACCAGGTGTTGGCTTCCAGCGAGCAGGGCTCCCTGCCCGGGCCGGGGCAGCCCCGGGCACCACTCACCTTGAGGTCGCGATGGACAACGCCCATCTGGTGGCAGTGGAGCACGGCCTCCAGGATCTGCTGAATGCAATGACTGCATGCAAACACCGGGGGGCGCCCGTTAGTGCCAAGCGCGGCGCGGGCGGCGGCGGGGGCGCCGCGCTCGGCCCCGCGCACAGCGGAGCGGGGCCGAGCGGAGCGGGGCCGAGCGCGGCAGGGCGAGCAGAGCGGAGCGGGGCCGAGCGGGGCACCACGGCCCCAGGCAGCGCCAGCTCCGAGACATGCCCGTTTCATTTAAAAAATGCCTTTTTTTTTTTTTTTTTTTTTTTTTTTTT